TCTTCGCGATTCTGTGACTTTTCGCAATCTGCGGTACCATCGTTCTGCTCATAGTCTTCGGTGAGAGTACCGTCTCTGTGTACGGAAGAACTAGAGATATCGAACTCTTCGTTGCCATCAGTGCATTCTCGATGACTGTCAACATGTTCTACCTCGTCAGTCTTAAAGTTAGAGGTTCCAACAGAATCGTCTATTGCGTCGACTTCTAAACTGACTTCAACTTCTTCCATCTCTTCCATTTCCTCTTGAAGGGCGATAAGTTTCGATTGTACACTGTCGTCTAGACTTCTATCGTCGACATCTGTGGTGTCAGAACGGGATTGGCAATTGGTTGACTGTCGAGTGTCAGTTCTAATTGATATATGAGGGTGATTTAACTCTGATAATAACATTGCTTCCTCTTGTTGGATTTCGCTAGCCACCAATTGTCCATGACTGACCTGTCCCGTAACCCACGGGTTGAGCTCAACCATTTGTGGAGTCCCCAGTCCATCATCACCAGCATCCCCGTCCACATGTTCCTGAATTGATATCAATCTTATTTCTGAATCAATGTCTGAAGCGGAACCTCTTTTCGCTGTCGTACATTCTGCATGTGGCAATGGTAATTTTGTGTCTGACGACGATGACGAAGAAAGGACTTTGTCTGTAGTATGCAGTAGAGGAAGAGAAGGGGAATGATCGGATTGTGAATTATCAGTGGACGTGATTTGATTAGAATTATCTGGATACGAGGAACTCAATGTTGACGTCGAGAAAATGTGAGATTGTTGTGCAGTAATTTGGGTGGTTTTGGCTCCATTGCGATCGGCCGTCCAAGAGCTATCGAGTTGCAGTTCATCTAGACATGGCAGGGAAAAACATGATGCAGAAATAAAATAAAATTAATCTTGATGCAACCCGTTGGCCGACTTTGATCAGATGAAAATACTGTCAGACACCAACCATAGCTCCTCCATCCTCTTATTTTACGCCTTTTGGTATGTATGCTGTTTGCTCTCGTCTTGTCAAAGTCTTCATGCATAACAGCTGATGCGCTTAATGTATCAAGTCCGTGGGTTTTCTCGTTACTTTTCTCCGATCTTTCGTTCCGCTCCTGTAATTTGCTTTTCAAGTCCTTGATTTCCGCATCTTTTTTGGACAAACTTTCCTGAAGGCCAACAACGTATCTGTTGATATGTCATTAAATAAGTAACGAAGATTAGTAAATCAGTAAGCGGAGAAAAGAAGCGCGAGTAGTAATGAAATAGAGTAGAGCACCGAGACAAATCTGAGCACTTCTGATGATAACTTAACGCTCGGACATAGTATTTAATTACCAGCGTGTCGCTTATGTCAAGAAATCCATCCTTTTTCTGTCGGTTTTAGAATGAAATTTCAATGTCGTAATTAGGAATGGAAACCTCATTCTTTGCATGAAGGAGAACTAACATACCAGCAATTCCGATGGAAAAAATTTATTATATCCCCAACATTCGCCTACTTCAAACTCTGAAGAAAATTCTCGTGTAACATTATGATCCCTGTGTTCATGACCGGGCCCTTTACCTCTAGAATCTCTCGACTCCAGTTGCACATCCAAATCGTCGAGTCTGTAGCTCGGCGACGCGGTCTTGTTGGTTTGGTTTATCTTAAATCGTAACAGTAGAGTAAAAATGACGATACGCGATATCAAGTTAGCACAATGGCAGTACGCGACGATGTGAACGGTAGAATATGATCATCAGACTTACTAATTGGATTCGATATTGGTATTCAATTGGACCAGGTGATCCCTCCACCAGTTCAACGAAAATAGATAAATAGTTTCCCCGAGCTTGTCCGTTGCCTGTGAGATTTTAGGGAGCGAGCATAATAGATTGGCGAGTCAGAATATAGTAGCGGATACAAAGTCAAGGCAATGAGACTCTGGGACGCCACCCACCAGCAGGATACACTTTCAACCTCCACGTATTTCCGGAAGCAATGAATGGTTCGGAATAAAAAACAGATCCTTGTTGTTCGAACGCCCTAGATATCCAAGTTAGCGAAACAGAGTGTTCACTGAGACTATATCGAATGCAGTACTACACACGAGAAATTCACAATTTTTACGGTGGTACCCTCAAATGAGGGCACAACTTCACTTTCAAACTCAACTTCGGTTCTTTCTTCATCCCCCTCACAACCCGCATTGGCGGCATCTGGAACTTTTTCATACTCTATCGCCAGTTTGGTTAATGTGTCGGAGTTGTAGATCAATTCAACTTGAGATAATGATTGCAAAGAAGACTGCAGCTTACGGCTGACAGAGTCGAGGGATGATGTAAAGTTTGAAAATGATGTTTTTTTACCTAAGATTAGATGGACAGGTTAGAATTCCACAGGTTAGTACATAACGGGCGGAGGAGATTAACAGTTTTTGGAAAATGATGAGTACCGAGCAATCGCATTAATTTTCGTCGTAATTGAGCGTCGATTTTCTTTTGAGCGCGCTCGAGCGCAGCTTTCAGCTCAATGTCACACTGTAGAGAAATGCCATCAGATATAAGTTTAGTTTTAACTCAGTGGTTTCTTAAAAGTCGTCTGTAAATCTGAAAGAACCTGTTTCTTGGCGTCGTTCACGGCGATAATGTTCTTCTCGATTGCTTGTATCCTCTCATTTGACATTTTGAGCGTTCTTTTGAGTTTACTCACATGAGTCATTATCAGTTTTGCATGATCATTGTAGATAGCCTGAAGATGTTGAAAGCTGTGATTCTTGTGCTGTGCATTAATCATAGCGTGAGCGCTCGCACAACATATCAGGGACTAAATCGAGATCACCTTTGCATCAAACATTGCACAGTCAGAACATACTGGCTCTGAACAAGTTGTACAATAGTAGAAAATTTTTTGCTTATGCGATTTGCACATATCTTTCGAGTCCATGACATCCCGAAGCGCTACTTTCTTTAGTTGCTGCCATTATATTAAGTGTCAGTTCCTGCGAAATGGTGATTCGGCTAATAACGACGGACGTACTTGTTGTAATTCATCAATAAATCTGCAATGCACCAGTTGCGAAATCAAGAGCTGAGCTCGGCAATGCGGGCATTCCCGTTTCTGCTCTGTGAGCCATTTCTACGATTGTAAGTGCAGAGCAATAGTCAATATCTATAACTATTTGTTTTATTCTGAATACCGGGAAAGAGGGTGGTGAAAGATTTCAGTGTACAACAAGGTATTCTTCGGTCCGTTTGACACGGACGAGTGAGAAAACAAAAACAAAGAACAGACCACTAAACACATTTCACAGCCCATCTTTGAGCATTCTGGGCACATTACGGCTCTCTTCAAGGGGCTCAAGCAGATAAAGCATTTCAATAATTCATCCAGATTAGAGTTTGAAGAGAAGACAGAGGATTTGTCGTAAGAGAGGTGGGACTCGTGGAGGGAAAATGATTGAGAATCGGAGGACGGGGATGAGGGGGGAGGGGAAGACGAAAAGTGCGTATGGTTTCTAGATGACATTGAGGCCGATATCGGATTGTGTATTTGGGTTGTGAATGTATGACGATGGAATTTTGAACGAGAGTCGAGGACGGGGTGGGCCGGGAAAGAGGAACTTGAAGGACGCGTCTGTCGTTGGTAAAGTGAATTACTCTGCTCAGTTGAAGGGGAATGCAGGACTACCATTAGACAATGAGGATATGGATGAAATACAATCTATGAACTACTTTGTTGTAGACACTTTGTGGAAATTGCTTTCAGCAGAATGCGGTGTGTCATAGTTTTTAGAGAGTAGCAGAGCTGCAAGTGATCTCTGAGATGTCGCATTCTGCGTGTAATGCAACGACAACTGTCTCCGTCTCTCATCATCCACAAGAGACTTTGGATTCCTCGCATTTCCTCCATCTGTCTCGGTCTCGATACATAAGTAAGGAATGTCTGCGCAAACTGGCCATTCCATCTCTGCCCAGTCTTTGGACACACTCTCTACTCCCGATTCGACGAATCCTTCCGTCAAAACGATCTTCGAAAGGTGACCATTCGAGTTCCTCAAATTTGTGGCATACTGTGCTCGCTAATCCACATCGTTTTAATTCTACAAAAAAAACTTACAGCCGGCTAATTGCACCATCTCCCGGCAACACTTACTATCAGGTCCTCGTTCAAAGTGACCACAAAGTGGTGCGTCATCCTCGATTTCAGTTTTAAAATCTTGCGATCTCATTCTTGCCTTTGCTTTCCGTGTAATAGCATGCATGGTGCACTGAAATATCTCCTTTATATCTAGGTTCTGCGCGATTGGCCTCGTTTGCGGTACTCTCAAGCAATTGCAAATCAATCTGTTTATCCATCCCAAATTACAATATCGTTCCTTGATTACTTGAATGGCGAAGCAAGGTTGAGAGATAAGGTTGAGCAGGTGTGTTTCCTTTTTAATTTATAATCACCTTCTATCTCAATTATTGGTTAGCTCAAGTTGAGTCCAATATGTACATCACCACTCGATCCGATTCGCTTCGCTGTTCTAACGACTGTACTATCTGAAAATCGGCACTGATTTTGCAAATCATTGTTACTAAACCGGACATAGATCTTTGGGGAAGACATCGCGAAGGCAGTTTTGTCTTGTATTCGAACAGTCAATGAAAAGTCGGATTGAAGAGGATCGACCGTTGGGCTTCACTATTTTATGTTTATTGTAAGAAGTCAATTTTTACCAAGTCTTTATCCAAGGAATAAAAGTAACGTGGCATTGCGATATGGATATTCGTAAAATTCAGATCTAGATCCAACATTCTGGTAAATTATTCCTTTCCTTGGATTTGATGCTCAACGATTCCCGAAGAAAGGAATAGTTGACAGCGACATAAGAAGCGAAAGTAAGATGTCTCTCTCGAATTGTAGAGTACTGGCTTCATTGGATATGTTTCCACGGTTTGTGTCAATGTAGCACACTGAACTCGTCGATTGGAGCTAGCAATAATACTTCTATAGAATATAATCAAATAATTGATCCAATTTTAATACCAGCACAGATGTCCGAGTTGGTTAAGGAGTCAGACTTAAGTTCTGATGGGCCACGCCCGCCTGGGTTCGAGTCCCAGTCTGTGCAGACTGTAATTTTGCATGTTTTGTGTTTGTACAGAACCATATAGATCTTTAATTTTTTCTGACTTAGATATTCGACTTCTAAAGATTGAAATACTTTCCTGTGATCGCAACGGTTCTTAAAGTTACATTAGATTAAAATGTAAATGCGGACAAGTCTTGTATTCTTCCAAAGTTGTAGTCAATCGATCGTATAGATCCGCATTCCTACATGCCGCTTAGCTTACTTGTCATTCCTAGAAATGATTCTCTTCGATTTTCGAGAGCGGATGTTAAAAATGTAGGTTTTTGACGGCCGAATCTCAAACAGATGATGTATTTCAACGATCTGTACCAGATCTTTATCTCGTTCTGTGGGGTTTCAGACCACGAGGTAGCCACTACTATGTTTTGATAATTTGTAAACCAATGCGATGGCTTGATTAACATCGTCCCGCGGAACAGACTTTATTTAACATTCATGATGAGCAAAGCAAGAGTAGAAAACGAAGGTTTCCAAACCATCAAGGCCAAAATATGCACAGCGGAATTACAAACTCTGCAACAAACTGATCGAGGTCGAACTTTGACAACGAACCATAAAAGCATAGGCATTCCAGGAGAGGCAAAGTAAAAAGTATGAATGATGAAGTGTGTACAGATAAGCAAATAGTATAAACATGAAAATTCTGTCTCATCACATTTCCGTGTACCAAATCAAGTATATTTCTCTAACTCGGACCATCTGCACGCCGGCAATGTAATCCCGAGTCTAGTCACCTATTTGAGTCGATCGACTTCTTCTCTGTATTTAGCAATAGCGGATTCAAAAGAGGCTTTGTACTCCTATTCGGGAGGTAATATAAAATGGCGAACGTACGCAAATGATTTGGAGGCAGGCACGGCACATTTGAGACAAGAACAGGAGTTCAAAGTACGTTAATTCACAGCTATTGAAATCATGTTAATCAATAACATACCGATTTCTTCGCCTCGTCTAAACCTTTCCACAATTGACCTAAATGAGCAGCCTTCTGCTGAGAATTCAAACCTTGATAGGTCGGATCATTTTGAAGCTTTGCTCGTTGATCTTGACAGAACAAGATATAAGGATTCAGGGGAATTTTAGGAGCGTTAGGATCTCGAGGTACTCTTGGATGACGTCCATCGAGTTTGCGGCGAATGTATTCTTGATATTGAATAAGCGATTTATCTTTAGCTGTGAGGCTGTTGGACCATGCATCTTGCTCTTTGCGATATCGAGCTTTGTCATTTTCGGCAAGATCTTCGTAGCGCTAACGGTACCAAAGAAGTAGAATATAATTAGTCAGCAAATTATTAGTAGGATGCATTCACTTAAATATAAATCTGTCGGGAAATAACGTGGGCAAAGTGGAGCAGCCGCGAATATTAAAGCGTGTGGAGCATGTACACAACTGAGACAAATACAAATTACATGCAATCAAATGTGAAATTTACCTTCTTTTCAGAAGCAGACAGCATTCTATATTTCTCCGCAACCCTTTTCATCATTTCTTCAGGCTTGACATTATATTCTTTGTATCTCTTTAACTCTTCTTTGTTGTCTCGGACGTAAAATCCGAAAGGGTTCAAGTTTCGCTTCGGTTGGGGACCGGCGGATGGTTCCAGCTTAAGAAAGGCTTTTGGAGCCATATTGGCAGCAACTTCGGCCCATTCTGAAGAGTTTTTGGTACTTTTGAGGGCCGTGCGGGGTTTTGAGCTTGCTTTCTTGGCGGAGGAGAAAGAGGCGAGGGGGATAACGATGCTGTTTACGTGAGCCGAGGAGCGAAGTGAGAGGGAGCGGACGGAAGCGATGAGAGAGTACATGCTGGGAGGTAGAAATTCTATCGATGAGAGTGAGCGAATATACGGTGGACGGGAGGAGGGAAGAAGGTGGAAGTGGAAATTTGATTGGGGAATCGCAAGGAGCAAAAAGCGGAGGTGCTTGGTGGAGCACGAACTCGGTCCATCCCAGTCTATCAATTTAATTATTTGAATATACATCATCTACACAATCTGCGAATTCCGATTCATCACATAAAGAACAAAATTAAAATCTTTTTTCCTAATTGAATCAGCATGAGTCTATTAGTTTTTAAGTATTATGGGAAGTCGATACTTTATCAGGAAACTCGGACATCGAATGAATGCGTTCTCAATTCAGTGATGTGCACTTCTCATACGCTACAAACTATGTGTAAGAGTGCCAGGGATAATTTAAATTACAGGGATATGGAAGATCCATAGAATTGCCGATTCCTTCCACTCAAGATATAAGCGGTACTTTAAGGGCGAAAGAAATGCAATGTGGTCAGCTGTGTCGTGATTTCAGCAAAATTAGAGTTTTCAAGAATTGTATTTCTATCCGGAAGATGGCCGGCGGTGCTGCTGCATAAATCAATACTTCGAAACCGACATCCCGCTGCAGGGCTGAAGATTCTCGTAAGCGCTGTGTTTGTGCTCTATTTTAAACTCAAAACTGGATGTTTCATCTTTCGGCTCATATAACCCCCAGTATTGTTTCAACAGCGAATTAATACTTGTTGACTTGCCGTTGCATCAATGCAGCAGGGGTGCAATCAATTCTGAAACGAAGTGTCTGATGGACAAGCATAGAGAATCTCTATAAAAAGGATCGACGTCCTTAGCAGTGAAGACATATCAGACAAAGGCTTCACTGCTTAGATCAAAGTAAACACTCGACTTTGCAACTCTCAAAATAATATTTAGAAATTTGAACATGTTTTACTCAAAATACTTTGCCCTTGTTCTTGCGTGTTTGATTGCTTCGACACTTGCCGCCCCAGCTCCCCAAATTTGGAATCCTGAAGTGGCCATCGATAGGGCTGCGCAAAAGGTAACCGACAAAACAGCGAGAGCTGCCGACAATGCCAAAAATGCCGTTCAAGGCGTTGGTCAAGTAGCTGGCCAAGTTACTCAGGCTACTGGTCGAGTAGTCGGTCAAGTTACTGACGCTACCGGTCAAGCGGTCGGTCAAGTTACTCGGGCTACTGAGCAAGTCACCGGTCGAGTTTGGAATGTTGCAAAAGGGGCTTGGAAGGGAGCAGTAGCCGGTGCTAATGGACAAGCTACCAATTAGCGAGGGATATCGAGTAGTGTGCAATAGGAAGCATATAGCTGTAGAAGTCATTTATGGGAGTATAGTTAGTATATATTGACAAATGTAATCATATTCAAGAAGTAAGATAATGATGGGCATATATAAACATGATCATCGTCAAAGGAAAATTAATAATTATTTTGAAAAGTAACTCTCTCGTTCGACCAACTGTGCACTCAAATTTCGCTCTAATATTTGGATTGGCAAGCGGGCAGCGCAGAGAATTCTCCACGTGTCGTTTTGCCAAAATGTCAGAATTCGTTAATACTTGTGCAAATCCATCCACCAGCACCTTTCTTCATATCAGTGCAAATGAAATGTCTGAATCCGATACAATCCTTCGCATACCGATCCCATATACTTTTGATGACCATTATGATCCAAGAACCTATCAGCCGCAGACCAATCCTCGACTGAAGTACGCATACGAAAGATTAGAATTATTAAAGTTCTGGTTGGATTTATGTAAGCAGGCTTATCGGATCAGGATAATTATGAAGGAAGGGTACGTCATCTAAGTCTTCTACTATACTGTTTTCCCTGCCATTTCACTTGACCTCACTCTAACTGAAAATCTCTCTTATGGTTCGACAATGTAGCCATCCGGTATATGGTACACTGGTAGCTGTCAACTCATCTCTCTCACATTTCTTGATTAATAATTTGGAGACGTCCCTTGGGCTCTATCCGAGTGTAAAGTTGCGAGCATCCGATATGACAGCCATTGAAGTCGTAAATCAGACCTGAACATTTCAAACAGAAGATTTGGGCAGGTGTATGTAAGATCATATTGTATAGGTTACGAAATGGATTTGTGGATTTTCATGTATTCGGGAGTATTATTCTATTATGGTGAAGGGGCCGCAGAACAGCACTGCATACCTAAGGGCCATCCTCCGTCGGTTTTGGAGAAATTAGCACTGAAAAGTGTACTGAAAAGTGTAATTCTAATATTGCACTTTTCCAGGTATTATATATGATATATTATATATTATACCTAACCCCCTAAAAACCTAAGCACATGGTAGGCGAGACTAAGGAAGTACGTGGATGGAATATGCCATGAAAAAATCTGTAATAATTGTAGCATATTTAATTTTAACATTTTCAATACCGACAAATACGGCCGTTGTTTGATTTCCTATGTCACTAGGTGGAAGCTGCAGATTCACTGGCAACGGTAATACTTATTGCACAGTCGAAGTCTGATAAGATGTATTCAAACAATTCATTTCATATTATCATTCGCAGAGTGTATGAAGACCGTAGTCTGACATCTCGGTAATTGTTAGAATCTGAACTCCACCACAATAGCCATCTAAATCCGCGCTGCGTTCGGTCTATTTTTGGCAGTCACTTTAACCGCTTCCGCTCGGGGTTGACGACTGCTTTATCTGCCGGACTCTTCGCTTGGAAAAAGTGCACCATCTTTTCGCTCAAGGTAAAAGGAATTGTCGCTCAAATAATGGTGCTCCTTCGAAAGAACGTTGAAGAACGGATTGAATCCCTACGAGCAGACCCGATCGGCTCTCCCACCACTCTACCGAAACTCTCTACCCACGCTGTCCTTCCTATTACGATTCAGCGAAATGAAGGTTCAGAACTCGACATTGAAGTGAATCCAGATTCTGTTGTTCAAATAAAAAAGCATTGGTATTATCCGCTCACAGCTCTAGAAATATTGTCTCCATTGCTATCCCTTGTCTTCCTCCCCATCTTCCTAAATGTTATTAAGATTAGTCCTCAGCCGTCAATTTCGAGTACAGTGCCAGGATTATCTTACTTTGCCTGGTCAACTTCTGAATCTTATGTTGAACTGCAGAAAACGACGTTTGATCTCGAAGACTATCATCCGACGAATGTAGACATTGGCCTGTATGCTT